CCGCGTCTGCCCGGCGCGCCTGGGGGGCTCGCCAGCCCGCGCCGAGGGGGCCCACGCGCGCACGTCGGGGCGACGGCGGCGGCGCCCTGCGAGGCCGCCGCCCGGGTCCCTGGAGGGCAGGGCGGGAGCACTGCGAGGCGGGCGGCCCCGGCCGAGCGCCCCGGAGGGTCCGCTGCGGCCGCCCTCGGCCTCCCCGACGCAGCCCCGGAGGGTGGGCGTGTGCGCGGAGAGGGCGCCCCGGGCGCGCCGCCGAGCAGCGAAGCGCTCGGGCACCCGCGGGGCTAGCCGGCCGCCCCCCGAGTGACGGTGGGGGGCGCTGTGCGGGGGTCGCTGCTCCTCCTCGCGCAGAAGCAGCCCTCGTCTCGGCCGCAGGAGAAGCGACGAGGCCCGCAGTGCAGCTCGCAGGTAAGAGGGGGAGGGAAGCCAGCCGCTCCCGAGCCCCCTTCCCGGCTCCCGGGGTGACCGCCCCGCTTCCCGGCTGCACCGGGCGAGGAATGGCGGGCGCGCCCCGACCCGCGGGGAGCGCGGGGCAGGAGCGGCGCTGCGGGTCCCGCTCGAGGCGCCCAGGTGCGTGCAAAGCGTGGGTGAGGCGGGCTCGGCCGAGAAGCTCGGGGATCGCCCAGCCGTGAGGAAGAGGAGCTGCAGCAGGGGGTGCGCGAGCGGCGTGGCCTTCCCCAGCCGGCGCCCTCCAGCCGCCCCGCCCCGCCCCGCCCCGCGGGGCAAACCTTCAGCCCGCCGTGAGGCAGATCGGAAAGGCGGCAGGTTGGAAAGGAGGAAAGCGCCTTCCTTCCCCAGCTGGTTTCCGCTGCTTTTCAGGCAAGTACACAGCCGGGTGTGGTGCACACGCACGCACACCTGGCTGCATTCAATACAGTTTAAAGACTTCTGGAGAGATTTAACTCCCCTCACATGCTCGTCCAGCTTGGCCCATAACACCTGCTTCCAAGGTGATTCTTGTAATTGCGTGGGTAGGAAAGCGCACACTCCCCTTGTTCTGCTCGTGCTGCAGAGCGCTCACCCTGAGCCTGCCGGAGCTGCCTGTGTCAGCCTCCGCTGCAGCCGCTCTGGATGCAGGATGGCCGGGCCCATCGCAGCCAACGCCACGGCTCCTCAGGGCAACTGGAGCCTCCTCCACCACACGCTCCTGCCCTGCGGGGATGCGGCGGGGGTGACCTGGGTCCTGGTTGCCTCGTACAGCGTGGAGACGGCGCTGGGCGTCCTGGGCAACGCCTGCTTCATCGCCATCCTGCTCCGGCACAAGGAGAAGGCCCTCGTCACCACCATCTTCCTCCTCAGCCTGGTCGTCTCGGACCTGCTCGTGTGCGTCTTCTGCCTGCCCTTCACCGCGGCCGCCGTCCTGCTCGACGGCTGGGTCTTCGGCGAGGCCATGTGCCGGGCCACCTCCTTCATCCAGTGCGCCGCCGTGACTGTCTCCATCCTGTCACTCGTGCTCATCGCGCTGGAGCGGCACCAGCTCGTCGTGCACCCGACCGACTGGAGGCCCGGCCCGGCCCACGCCCGCCTGGCCGTGGTGGGCATCTGGGCCGCGGCGGCACTCGTGTCCCTGCCCTTTGCGACCAACTCCGCGCTGATCCGCGACTTCCCGGGGCAGCTCCACTTGGCAGCCCCCGAGGCGGGCCGGGCGCTCTGCGTGTGCGCCTGGCCCTCGGAGACGCTCCGCCTTGCCTATGCAGCCGCCCTGCTGCTCCTGCAGTACCTGCTCCCCCTCCTCTTCATCGCCGCCTGCTACCTGCGCATCTCCTTGCGCCTCTGGGGCCGGGAGCGCATGCTCGGGAGGCGCGCGGCCCAGCTGAGGCGGGTGAACACCCTGCTGGCCTCCATGGTGGGGGCCTTCGCCGCCTGCTGGCTGCCGCTGCACGTCTTCAACAGCATCGACGACTGGAGCTACCGCGTGGTCCCCTCCTGCCTGCACGACCTCGTCTTCTCCCTGTGCCATCTCGCCGCCATGGCCTCCGCCTGCATCAACCCCGTCATCTACGGCTTCCTCAACAGCAACTTCAAGAAGGAGGTGAAGGGCCTGGCACTGCGCTGCCGCCGCCGCCGCTCCCCAGGGCGCACCGGCGAGAGCGTGCCCCTCTCGACCGCGCAGACGGACGCCTTCAGGGGGCCGCTGCAGCCGAGCTGCCCACAGGCCCCTGCGTAGTGTCCGGGATGCCTCTTCGAGCCCCGAAGACTCATGCCCAGGGAATGAACCTGCAGCACGCAGAGGCCCTGCTTCCAAGCCAGGTTGCACAAGATTGCACTCTTAGCTTTTATTTGCATGTGAGCATTAAGTAACTTTAATTCAAACTGAGCACGAATGCCTGGACTGGACTGGACTGGACTGGACTGGATGCCCAAGGCTGCTTCAGAATCATCCCCACAGCACCGGAATCTGTACGTGTCAGGGAAAGCAAGAAGCTTTCTGGTGTGTTTCCAGCCCAGAAACGCTCTCAAACACCCAAGCGGCATGATAAAGCTTGTTAGAATGCCGTGACTGCTGTGAAGGGCCATGCAAGATCCAGAAGTGTGATATATGGAGATCTGGTGGAGATCTGGTGCTTTAAGAGGCAGGCCAGGCGGGTGCCAATGAAGGAAGTTCTCACACTTTCTGGAGCTGAGAAGTAACATGTTGATAATCATACACAGATTGTTCAGTCGCGAGATTTGACTTTCAGCTCATGGAGCTCTGAGCTGGTCTTCAAAGGCAACAACACGAGCAGAACTGTCACAGGCCGGGCCTTCCAGCGGGGTGGCTGCTGCTCACACCTTCCTGTCATTGGCTTCAGTGCCTCTGGCAGGAGTTGGCGAGGCAGCGGCTCCCGGAAGAAGGTCCGCCTTTGCAGGTGGTTTATGGCTCAATAGGGTTTGGCAACAAACTGAGCTGATGCTGCAGCGTGAGTGGGTAGGAATTACGCTGCCGCCTTACGGACACGGTGCCAGAGCCTTTCACCGGGCCTCTTGCTGCTCTTACCTCATTTTTAGAGCTGCTGCTTCTTTCACAGTTCTTGTGGGACCTGCAAGGGAGCTGCAGAATGGCCCGCTCTTTGAGGGGTGCTCTGCCTCATGGCCCTGTGAGCCTGGAGTGGGTGTCCCATGTGCAGTCCCTGGGAGGGAGAGGGCTGAGGGGAAGGGACGCCTCCACCCCCTCTCCGCTGGCTGGAGCATGGCAGGCAGCTGCTAGGCCTCGGGGCACGCTTCTCACAGTCCCCACTTCACTCTTCCTGGACATGGGGGTTGTGGAGGCCACGGTTCTCATGGGAGCAAGGGGCGCCTGGCTGACACCTCGGAGTCAGTCTCCCAGAGATTTCAAAGACGGGCTTATCCACCTGCAGCACCAAAGTATGCTGCATGACGTCTGGGTGGCATCGTGCCTTCCTGGGGGAGGTTGCTTTCTACCCTCCTGCCCCAGTCCAGTCACTGGCGGCACATATCCCCCCGTGCTGCTGCGGCTGAAATTCAATCTCAGGGTGACTTCATCACCCACCACCTCCTCATGGCCTGCATACAGAGTCTGGATAGCTAGAGAGGCTCTTCCAAATGCCACTCTTTCCACTGGACTCTATGGTAGCCGTATGGAAACCTCATTTCTGGATTCTGATGACCAAATAAACCATGGCAAATCTGCTTCTGTAGAAACAAAATGAAGCATGTGGCAAGTCCACAAAAGGGTTCAAACAGCATGATAGAAACCTCCATGCTTTGCTCTTATGTGTGAACCCTGCCAGCCTCCTTAATTTCTGGTTGACTTGGGCACCTGCCTGCCCTCTCTGCCAGCTGGGTCATTTGAAGTACTGTTTTGATTTCCAGTCGTCTCTGCAGGAAACATAGAAGGCTGGAAGTTTCCTTGTACAGCCCCGCTGAGTGGGCTGCTTAAGCGGAACACAAAGGGCAGCCGTTCAGCAACGCGCTGCAGCGCTTCCTCCCCTCCCAGGCGGCCCCAGCGCTCCTCCAGGTGGGGTACCTGCTTCCAGCGGGTGCGGTCCTCAGCGGGCTTTGGGGGACTGTGGCCACTCTCAAAGAGACCCCGAGCTCTGGGAGGCTCTTGCCCCCCCCCCCCCATAGCTCACCGGGAACAAGAAGGCCCAGCCTGCCCCACTGCGCCCGGGAGAGTGGAGCCCCCCGGCAGATTCTCCGAGCTGGTTTCTCTCTCAGACCAGCTCCATGTAACCGGCGGTGTCTCTCCTTTCCCGTTTGCTTAAACTCCATGCTGCCTCACTCCCATCTGCTTCCATTTGAAAGTAAACCACACGGATGCTGTGGTGCCGAATGTAAAAGTCAAGCGCCCCCCCCCGCCCCCAGTTTATTTGTCAAGGCAATAATATGGTTTTGTCCACCTAATCAGCATTTCTTTGGCACGGTAGGAGGGATTTTGCTTTAGGATTATTGCTATCATAAGCAAACATTTTTTTGTACACAGAAGGTAGTTCAAAAGTATCATGAGGAAAGGAAAAGTTAAACATTTTCCTTCTTTTTTTAGGAGTGATAAAGTGTGTGTAACAGATTTAAGATGTTCTGTTAGGTTTGGCTGTATCTAGGTGACTCCAGAGCACAGCGAAGGTCCATTGGCTTTTCAGGCATGACAAGAAATTAATTGTTGAGGTTGCTAGGATTTACCAAAAGCTTTTCTGTATGTATTTGTGTTGATCTCCATTGTTTCTTATTTTTAAATATATTAGAAATATGTAAAAGATGTGCAACAATCAAATAGCAATCAGAAATCAAACAACATATTTAATATAATACAATGGCACACCCCAAAGTCATGTTAAGTGTTTGGAACCATACAAAAGCCAGCGCGGTTTAGCATGCCGGGCTGGGTCTCAGCTGACCCAGGTTCCGGTCCCTGCTCAGCCGTGCAGCCCGCTGGGTGACTTTGGGCCAGCCACAGACTCAGCCCGGCCTACCTCACCGGGTTGTTGCTGTGGGGATAAAGTTGAGAGCAGGAGGAGGGGAATTATGTAAGCCGCTGATGCCAATGTAAGAAAAAAGGTGGGATATAAATTAATAAGCAAATCCAGAAATAAATAAAAGACCTCAGACTATCATTGGATCTCAGAGGAGGTGATTTGCAGGCAAAACTGGACCGGGGCTTCTCTGCTCTTGCTCTTATTTATTTATTTTATTTATTTTTCAATTTATATTCTGCCTTTTTCCTACAAAGGGCTCAAGGCAGCTTACATCTCCTCAGCCATCTTATCCCCACAACAACAACCCTGTGAGGTAGGTTGGGTTGAGAGTCTGTGACTGGCCCAAAGTCACCCAGTGGGCTCCATGGCTGAGCGGGGACTCGAACCCAGGTCGCCTGAGTCCCAGTCCCATGCTCTTAACCACTACACCACACTGGCTCTCTTGCCCTTGCCCTATCTGTGGTGTCTGGTCCGCGCAGACCCTGTTGGCCACCAAGCAGAGGAAATACGCGCAGAATGAACACAGCCACAAGCGGACTCATGGCAGAACTGGGGCCGCGTGGGGCCGTGCGTGCCCGGGCCCCGATTCCCCCTTGGCACCCCGTGCAGGCCCAGCATGATCCCAGCTTGCTACTGCCTCTGCCCAGGTGGAAGGTGGTCCTCCCAGGTCAGTCATGGGCCTGTTTCCTCAGGGTGACTGCAGACCTCGCCGTAACAGACGGATCTGGCAGGGAGGCACGACCAGGAGTACATGATCAAGTGGAGGCCATTTCAGCTGACATGTCCTTCCTGCAACGGCTGGAACTGATGCTAAACAAACACTTCCAATTAGTGCACTGATTGGATTACTGCTCTGGGGAGCCATTTTGCTCAGTTTGGGAGTATTTTATATTCTTTGGACTAACTTCATTTTCCCCCTGTGAATCCTTCAGCAAGGAATGTTACTGCTTTCTCCAAAGCTATTTTGCCTTGCATGGAGATATCAAAGATGCTTTCCTCGTGTAGCGTGCATGCTTGTCGGTGTATGCACAGAGACATGGAAAGAGCGGTGCGTGTTCCCCTTCCATGCCTTTTCCTAGTATTATTGTTGTTATTCAGCAAGTAAATGCTTGTGAACACATTCGTGCTGTACCTTTTCCAGAATGTAAAACTCAGACCTTTATACCAACCATTCTGATGTTTGAAGAAAAATAAACTGTTGCAGCCAGTACATTCATTCCTGACTCAGAAATATGCATGTATATATTTCCCTGTCCAAATAAATTCTCAAATTCTCCAGGTAAGGGTGTTGTTGGGCTTTTTTGAAGAGCCTTTTCTTTGACAGTGAGCCTGCAGGACAATAAGGGGTGGCATGTAGCTCTTCTAGCGCAGGGGAGTTTGAGAGTGTCAGAGAAGCCGAGAGCAATGCAGCCTGGAGGCCAGCTCCCTCCCCAGCCGGTCTGCTGGCGGGACGGCCAAAGCGCGGGTACCAGGCCAAGACACGCCGCCCTGCTCTGGAGGAATGGAGCAACAGAGAGCGGGCATCTCTGGCGGCGGTGAGGCAGAGACGCTCCCAAAGGGCCGGGCTCGGCGGCAGTGCTGGCAGAGGCTCTCGCGCTCACAGTTAAAGGGTCCCACCCCCCCAAGGTGCGTCGTGCCGCCTGCACACTTCGGCCCTGAGGGAGCCCATAGTCCACCCCAGGCCTGGCCGTCTCCCATGCGCCAGCTGATGTGTCGCCCTGAATTGCAGCACCGTGAGACTCCAGGCAGCAGCGACTGCCTGCTCGCAAATTGGCAGGATCGCCGAATGATGCTCTTCAACACTGCACAGATGCCAAGCGGGACTGACTTTCACGGGGACTCGAAGAGGTTAAAACAAAGCCTTTTACAAGCGTTTCTGGGTTGGACTGCTTTTGTATACTCTGCGCCCACTTGTAATGATTGACTCCTTCCTTGCTGCCCTGGTTGAAATCATTTTTGTGAATTGGAGTGTGACTCTATCCTTGTTTAGACTGGGAAGGACCTGTAACTTCCATCACGCCCGGCTGGCTTGGCTGGCAGGTGCATGCTGGGAGCTGGAGACCCCTGGTTGTCTAAGCGTGCGTATGGTTGCCCCTTAAATTCTATGTATAGTTAACCTCCTTGAAAGTCATCCTTGAGTCTTCCATGGAAAGGCAACAGTTACACATGTTAAGAGGTAATGTGCAAGGGAAATCATGAGGGAAAGATACATGGCGATATTTTAATGGACTGTAACCGGTCTCTCGTGGGTAGG